TACCAGCTACTGTATTCTAGCATTTACGGATTTATAAATACCGAGCCGAGAGGTGTTTCTGAAAAGTGTATTGGGCTCAAATTAGTCCATTTCTGAATTCTGAATATGTACGTTCACAATCTAGCTGAATGAAATACGGCCTTTAGTAAAGTGATCCGAAATATCCGCGTCTTATTGAGCTGGAATTTGTGAAATATTGTGCCTTCTTAGGTTACACATCTGCCTTTGACTTTGTACCTTGGCCTCTTTTGTTAAACAGGCTTGCTGCGACACGAGCACAATGCTGGACTACCAAGTGGTTGCATTCCTATTTTTCTGATAGGAGGTAGATGACTCAGCTCATTCGTAAATTGCATGGTCAGGTCTTTATCATCCCTCAATAGCTTCATCACCCGCCGCTTACTGTTTTTAGATTCTCTAAAGTCATTTTGTTTTACAGCAGTCATTAGTTAAAACCAACGACTAAACGATGCAATCTTGCATGTGAAGGTAATATGAATTACCTTAAGTTTTCTCAGATATCTCCCTAATGAGCATACAGTATCGGCGAACTCCACCTGATAACTATCTTCCTTTAATAAGCAACCGGAAGCCATAGCATGAAATTTTGTCGAAAATAATTAGTTGCTTTAAGTAATAAACTAAAAACACCTATCTGTACATTTTTCAGTACCATGTCTGTAATTCAGAGTCCAGTGGTTTGAGTTATGCTGTGTATCAAGTTTCACTGTCATTAAATAAATATTAGGCTATTGAGCCTATCGATCCTGAGAATATTTCTTAAAATTGTAAAGTATCTGGATAAGATTCAGTGATAGTGAGGACTTTAAGGTTGACATTAAGATAAATTTTACTGCTTAACGTTTGCAGACCCACAGCACTGAAGCCTAAGCTAAATCTTATTCTTTAAAAGAGTTTTTAGATCAACAATCCAGTGTTAATTTTCATTTTTAATTACCAGGTTTCAGATTAGGTGAATATATGAAAATATACCACCTTTTGCTTTAACTATTTGTGAAGAAAGTTTTCTTTTTGACGACCACTCTCGCACGAATGCTTCTTAGTGTTACACAGAATTCCTCAATATCGTACGAAAGGACATCGAATACACCATCTGTACATAGCTGAATCATTGGCTGTTCGGGATCTGAAACCCGACCTCTGCATTCAAAAGCACTACATCCTTCACTCACCTTATCATGGACAGAGTAAGTGTACTATTATAATTTTTTATCGTCATTATTATTCTCATTATTCTTATTTTACTACCACTCTATTTCTTTTGTTAATAATATTGCATTCGGCAATTTGTGTTTGATAATTTCTGTTACTATACTGTCTAAACGCGTACTAATGTTTCTTAATCTTTATTATGTAAATTACAGTGAATTCTGCCATATGCAAATTACTAGATTCCGTCCTCTCTGTGTTGTTGTTCGGTTTCCTGTGATTCGGTCATTACGAAATACAATTACAAATAAGTATTACAATTTTCATATAGATTGTCCAAATCACTCATCTTTCCACTAGTTTTTGTCCACCCTACACAATTATAGTGATTAGTCATTTTCTCATACTTATTACGTCATCCTAACTACTGCCCCTTTTCTAATTTGCAGTTAGCCACCTCTTCTAGATTACACCTTACATTGCGTAATACATTTACGAGGACAAATTTAACCATTTTCTGACTGGTTTTATGAATTCTTTGTTAAGTATATTTACGATTGTACAACAGTTTATGAAAATGAATCATTTAAAAGAAAATTTTCTTCGCTGTTTACGTCTTTCTCTTATAACTTAATATAAGAATATTTCGTTCATTAAATATTTGCTTCAAACTTTGAGAAAGAAATTCTGCTACTCTTGAAACAATTTGTTTTTTAATAGCAATAATTAGACGAATATTCAAGCTATTTGCGAGAGAATAGCTTAAACATAAAAGTGTGTATTCTTGGCTGCAAGTCTAGGCAAAAAATATTGGTTTTTTAGCAATAGACACAGACCAGTCAATGCAGGCAGGATCTAGCTTTACTGTTTAGTGGTTTAATTTGCAACACCTTATGGCTGCAGATCAGCCACAGGGGAGTAAAAGTGAGGAAACAAACAGAAATAAAGATGGGTGTAATAAAATCCAAAAGATTTGGAGAATAAGGAATTTATTTGTTATACGCAACAGATATGACATACCTAAATTCGTCTCTTCCAGTGCAATAAATCCTGAGGTATTCTACTTAAGTTTTGTATTCATGAGTTTCGGCGGCTACATGAACCCAAAATAGACAGTCTATGCTTATCTTACACTAGCACCTACTGGATTCATGTTCTCGTCAGCCTTAAATTTTTCCCAACTCAATTCTCCTTCAACATCACACTCTGAGGCAGATAGTGAGTAGAAACGCTCATAACATAACCCTAATATTGAAAAAAATCCCCCACCCTAATAGCTTGGCGGCAATATCTGTCTGCAGTAATGAATGATGTAGGACAGCAGTTTCTTGGAGATCACAGATATTATCTCCTTATGAAAGCCAGTAAACACCAAACTAGGTCCAGGGATTCTTATTTGTTCCCTCGGACCATTTAGTATGACCCAAAAGTTTTGTAGATAGACGTACATACATCCTGCAGACTAATGTATCTTACCTTGAAACTTGTGTCTGGCTAAAGCAATGACGATTGAATCCCTGAAGTTCCCGCAGATTGTTACTTACAGTGATCGCATTCCGAAATCATTCATTAGGACACATTGCACCCCTATACAGTATATTCCACCATCTATAAGTAACCACATATTTCATACGAGCCATGGATAAGCCGGTCTCACGAAAGTCAAGAGATCATTCTGTATTTATGCCTCGATTTCGTCCTCAATGGACGTTTGTGAGATTTACGAAGGAAATCATCCACCCAACTTACTTATCATAACCAAGTGACATCTTTATGCGACTCGTCCCACAAATAGCTTTGTTCACATTTAGCAAGGAAGATAATTGCATGACATTATCATTTTTTTCATCTTGGTGAAAGGCACTAAAATAATACTTCCCGATCAACGAAATTAAATGCAACACTCATATCAATAAATATAGCTAGTACTGGTAGGCTAAATATTCCTTTGCATTCCAAGATTTGGCTAAGAGTGAATATCTGTGTTGTGTATCCTTGTCTGGCATTGAAAATTGTTTTTCCCGATGGGTTTACTGCCATACGGCTGCAGTTAGGCGTGACACCATATAGATTTCAAATACGTTTACTCAAGTTAGTTACTTTACCTTTTCCTGAAGGATGTGATAATAATTATAGGCATTCATGTCTGATTTTTACACTGTCTAAGATCTTAATCTGCTTAGCTAGAAATCCTTAGATTGCCTCCATAAATGACCTGCAAGACACTGCTGCTCTCCATCGATCAATTTTAATTATTGCTTTATAAACCACTGCAATCTGACAAAAGTTCCCGTTAAGGATTACCTACCACTCACCATAAAAAACATGCGCAATTTCTTAGAAACTATTACCAATACTAATCATATGATATGATTATGAGCAATATTTTGCGCTCGAAACGTCATCAGTAAATATTACTGTATAACACTGTGTGATCTATTAAAATAAAATCTTATCCATAATGGAGTTGTACTCTACCAGTGCCACGTTTAATACTTATAATAAGAATTTATGACAGTCGTCCAATCAATATGACCTGGCCTTGTACTTCATATCTGTCATGTGATGATTGGTTATTTCGATGTGAATGTCCTCCAATTGAGATTGGCCTCGGATGTGTTGTATCTATCTTATAATATATGTACGTAAATGCAATCCTCCAAGCATTTTATCCCACCATCAATACTGTTCGGTATGTCTTTGTCCTTCCTTAGAAGTCATTTGCCTTTGCATTGTTATCTTTGTGTAATTGCATTATCATCTCTCTATTTTATAAACAGATAACATTTCCGTTAAGTCACCTGAGTTTGAACTATTGTGAAGCCTAGACTCTTAAATGCCAGCACTGATAGTGAGGACAAAAACCTGTAAGCAAATTCATTCCTGCACTGTATACATGATATGAAACAAAGTCTTCTGGGCCTTGATTGGTTTAGGAGTCTTCGATTATCAGGGTCACTACTAACTACTGTATACAATCAAATCCAGGATTCATGCAAATTTCGTCAATGCTTCCCGAACGTTTCCAAGAGTAACCACAATTGTGCCACAGTTTCTCACTCACTGGTGGCGAGGACGCTACCAGCCGTATATAATACTTTAATACTTAAGTTATCTACGGCTAAGTTAGGTATCGCTCCCAATATCCTTCCCAGTTGAAACATCTATGCTTGCTGGAGACTACAGAACAAGACATAGTAAATAGATGGAAGGACTGACAAACGACAGACGTGGAATTATCATGTAAGATGTTATATTTAGAAGAGAGGTGGACACAACACAAGAAACAATTACGACGGCAAGTGCCTCCTGATAATACGACAACGACCAGTGGTTTCCCACTAGATACATTAGGAATGCAACTCTGGGAAGTTACAGGAGCTTCTGATGACAGCATTCCACTCCCTCGACTTTGATAAGCCAGGCAGAGGGAACAGGCAGTGTACTTCTAGGGTGACCCCGATTAATCTCCTTCCAAAAGAGCAAAACGTGATATGGGGATCTCCGTATAGTCTGTTGTTTGATTCTCTTTTTAAATCACGCCGATTATTACACACTAGTAATTGCTATTATGTACTAGATGAGATGCTGATGAATACACATTCTTCGTGTATCCCCAACCACTGTGGCCTTTCAAATCGTGTGAATTATTATCAAGCAAAAATATTTCAGCGAAACATAAAGGTTGTATTAACACTTCTCTAACTAATTGAGTTAATCCTTTCATAAGAGACACCGAAATTCTTTTTTTCCGACTGAAATTTTGCGCCCCCTCTTCAATTTTAGCAAAAGTTGGAATATTTATGAGAATATCTCTTTCAGGCTCTTCACTTAGGTAAATAAGAATAAAGAACATTAAATTGCAGTGTTTATTGACACATTCTTTGAAACTAGTGATTGGTCCGTAGAAGAACTCTTTTTTCGTAATGACAACTTCCAACATTGAATGTATTGGTTACAAATGTTGATAAACTGTAGATTTATCGCTTAGACGTGGTTTGTTTGGATTATTTTCCAATAACCAGTCGGCTAACCACAACTAAATGAATTAAGAAGAAAAACAAAATGTGACTGTGCAACTAGTCATAATAACAGTAATGACAATAATAGTGATGATAGTAATTATCGTTCTATCAATAACAAGGATGAAAAAGTGAGGTGATTTGTGATAATAAGAATAACGAAAACTCATGATTAAACAAAGTAGAAGTAGTCGATAAAGGCTAAGAAAAACAAATGGACCGATTAAGTAGTACTAGATTGTAAGGGAAGTAAGTAAAATACGCTTTAATGAAGATGTGGTATGATTACGGGATGATAAGAGAGGGGTTGAAAATACAAGTAAGGGGTGGTGTAGAAGTCATCAGTTGGTTAGGTTTCAACCGTCCAAGGCAAGGAGTGTGGCTATATGAACTTCTTTTGAATATATAGTTAAGTCTTAATAGTTCGAATGCCTAATGCCTCAGCTGTGTGCAGTAGACAAATACGAAGTCTATTGGTGAGATTCGGTTCAATGCGACGAATTACCATGAAAGCTTTTGTTTTCTGCACTGTATGACCACTGTCAACTAAATGTGGCGAAATGGAGCTATGGATGTAAATGTAACTGGAACAAAAACTGTATGCTGTTTATAGCTGCAACATAGACGATGTGGGATTTGTAGATCATAATGTTGACTAACTTAGAGATAAAACATGTTTAATAATTGGTCTTTTCAATCAAATTGTCAATTACTTTACTACAGTAATAATAATAGTAGCGTCATAAGTTCAAACGAGATGGACACAACTGCATACTCATTAAGTCAATCTGAAACAAACTTCACATTGTTACAGCAGAAGGCAAGACACGGAAGTCAAGGTATATTTTTAAAGTGATCCAACTGCTATATATATCATATTCTGTTATTTATTATTATTATATCCTTTAATGCCTAGAAGAACATAGGGCTTTAGCTGCGCGTCCCCATTGCATTCGGTTTTCTGCCAACTTTTTCACCCCACTCCAAGTCTGCCCACACGCTTTCATATCCTCCTCACATGACCTCCTCCAAGTCACCCTTGCACTGACGACCAACTCGCCACCCGCTTCCCTTTCGGGTTCCACTCGAGCAATGGCTTGTCTAGTGATGTCACTTGATGGTTTCCTCAGTGTATGGCCAGCCAATCCATCTCCATTTCTTCCTGCCTATTTGTTTCACAATCGGTTCCTGCTGGGTTAGTTCGCTGATTGCCAGAGATTCCTGTTGCTGATCTTTTCTGACCGGCCATCTGATCTTGAGTGGTATTGAGCAAAGACAACTGTTAATGAAGGTCTGAAGTTTGTTTGAAATGCTCTTTATGACGCGTAGTGCAAGTCTCTGATCCGTATAGTAGCACTGACTGACTTCACATTGGAGTTGAAAATCTGGATCTTATTTTTGATGGTGAGTGATGTTGACCTCCACACAGACTTAGAAGTAATGGAAGCTTGTCTTGCTTTTCCGATTCTGGCTTTGATATCCTCATCAGTTCCGACTGTAGTGAAATGATGCTTCCCAGGTAGGGTAGTTGAAGGAGGTTGTTCCTTTCAGGTTCCTCTCGTTTATGCAGGCTGATTGTTGTCAGTTAATGATGCTGTTGCTGTTGGCCCGGAATCTTCATCACCTCTGTTTTCTCTATGTTCGCCCGAAGTTATATCTTCTCTGGATGCTTCTTCCGATAACTTGTTGCTTTTTACTTGCATATCTTCCAGTTTGTGGGAAATCAGACATATATGTGTCATCGGGGAAGTCCAGATCCTCCAAGTTTTTTGTGTGAGTCCATTTTATGTTTGTTTCCTCATTGCCCGTTGTTTGTCACATTATCCAATTTACTGCAATCAGGAAGATCATTGGCGATATTAGACAGCCTTGCCTCACTCCCGTCCTCACTTACTTCGAAGGCTTCTGTAAGTTTCCCGTTGTGGATTACTTGGCATGCAGCAGTGTCGTATAACTGTTGGATGAGATGTATAATTATCGATGGGACCCCATAGTAGCGAAGTAGTTGCCAAATCACCTCTCGATCGACGCTGTCGAAGGCCTTTTCAAAGTCGATGAAGTTGAGTGAGGTGGAGAGGTGAGTGCCATTCCAAGCTTTGTATTCGTATTCTGTTGCTAACACAGTATTGAACCGTGGGAATATGTGAGAGTAATATTCCGTTGGAACATATTATCTGTATCACACCACCACAACATTACCAAGTATTTCCACCAAGAAAACTTTTTCAAAGTAAATACCAGCATACAGAAACCATACTATTGCATCTTTTCCTACAAACATAGAATTCACCTAGTTAAAAAGGTGGATCTGACTTTGTCAAAGTAAGTGAGTTAGTGTAGTACAAATCATTACACTAGTTTGTTTATATTATTATTGATGGTTAAAACAGTATTTAAGTAGCAATACTGTTATCACCAGTCAGTATATTACAACATCAGTAACAGGCGGCAGGAAACCTTGACTCTCAGAAAATTTCCAGTTCCGTTCATCTGTATCTGACAGTGAGGACTAATTGCTTCTGTAAAAGTTGTACAAAATGTGTCAGTAAGATATCTATTGAATACCCTGGGACTTTTTCATCTTAAGATTTAAACTTCAGTGTATTTAAATTTTATTCAGCACCTCATCCAGCTTTTGATTACTCTGTATATATATATATCACTTACCTGGAGAGAACAGTGAACAACTAACAAATGCATAGGGTTGATGTAAGTATCCATATGAGTCATTCATTTTCTTTATCTGACTAATCTAATACTGTACATTTTGTTTAGATAATTTAGCAGCTTAAAAACTGTGAAGTCAGAAGAATCCACAACTCACCATTTTGCCAATCCACGTGAAAAAGAGTGACTTTTTCATTCTTTATATTTTGAAACAACTTTACAAAATCTTAGGTTTCAATATACATTAAATTATTCAGTGCTTCGTAGACATGATGTAAAATCCACTGATTTCGACGTGAGTGCCATCTCAGAAATGCGCCGCTAATCGACTGTTAGTCTGTTGGGACTCAAAAATATACCATAAATAAATGACTGCAGCATTAGGTAACGACGGTTCAAAACTCAGGAGAGACATAAATTCCTTCAAGGCTGCAGATACGCCTTGCTGACTGGTGAGTGCCAACTAACATGAAACCTTAGTTCAGAGCTGCCTGCTCATCGCCCCCACCCATCTAACATCAGTTCAGGGTGCTTTGAGATGGCGAGCTACCTAGCTTGCTAAATACATTGCAAAATTGACTGATAGGACTAGACTCATTATATTAGTTAGTTCCTAGTGAAATGTGATATAGTTCCATTTCATAAGACTAAGCACTTATTTGGCCAGTCACATAATTGCAGATCAACATAGACTATAGTACAAAGATGCATTACTGCTACCTTCTACACTTTTAAATAATATTCAGATAAGTGGAGAAATACTGAATTGTGCCGTAATGGATTTTGGTTAGTGAAACGTTAGAAGAAATTAATAAATTTCATTCTGTTTTAATTTGCTTCAGGAGCTGGTCATATCATACCTTTAATTCATAAACAGGCATGTTAACCATCTGATTACAACAATACTTAAACTGATGGGTGGATAACTTTAAATAGCAAGCAGTTTTCCAAGGTATTATTAATTCAGTTTACTAGGCCAGTAGAAGATATACAGGAATATCCTCAAGGAAATTTTAAATAGTTTGATCAAAGAACAAGACCAGTTTAAAAATTTCTGAAAACCAAACGGCACTATTTGAATGCTTTGCCCTGACTTAAGGCTGTGCTAAAGGTCACGTATAATTCCACAAATATTCAAGCAGAGTAGCATCACATCTTGGAAAGGGCTTAATACCACTCAACCGTCAGCCTTAAAGTCTACGGCTCAAGACTTCAAGACAAACCAAATGGCATAAATTCAACAAATTAATGAGAAAAACTAAGTGAAACCATTAATCAGAATATGGAGATCTTTAATTGGTATTTCTTGCTAATTTATATACTTATATGCGATTATGCTAAAATAAAATAGCCTTTTTAAAATTGCAGCAACTTACCACTGGGTCTTTTGGTTTTTGTTTACACAATTCGGTTAAACCTCTGAGTAATGTTGGATTTACATTTCTGGCTAGATAATCTTTAGCTGCGAGTCGTACAGGGATTGGTTCAACAACCGCTAAAATAATAGGAGAAATTTAAAAATAAAAAGTGGTAGATAGATCACTATTTGTAAAGTTCCACAAATTAATTTCATAGCTAATACCTTATATAACTCCCAAGTGATTATCTTAATTTCACCTCCAGTACTTATGAAACCCCCTTTTGTTTATCGAATTTAGAGCATATTACTTACTAATAAATTCCGAAACATTCTTCAGTGTAGGTACTCGAATAACGAATAAGTCGTTTCATATTAACGTGTTTCATTTTGAGAGTAGCCGGCTTCGTAAACTGATATCTCTCTCATCAGTATTACGATTTCTTTGTTTGTAACAATAGGAAAACTTTAGCGCGTTAATCAGCCATTCACAGTAATATATGAATCATAGTGTGGTTCAAATAGTGTATATAAATAATACACAGAGGAACGGAAATGATAGTGTTTTGATTAACAGTAATAAATACTAACACAATATTCAATATAACTTGTTTCAAATTCCAAAACACGTGTTCTCATTGTGCCCTTTTTCTTCTATACTAGTTAATTAAATCATCGACCATAAAGTAGTGAAACAGACGAACTTGATACAAAGGAGTGATGAATGAAGCCAAAGCCCAAATCTGGGTTACCAAAAAGTGCTAAAGATTCACTCTTGAGTTACTGACTTTGTATTCTGTGGACTGAGTTAATACACCTGCAGGTCAAACTGTACACTCCACATCTGATGAATTCAAAATATGAAGATCACACCCTTTTCTTATCTAATCAACTACTTAAAATCAGACAGACCCAGTTCTTTGAATTATTCATGTTTATATTTCTTTCTTCAAAAAACGTAGTATATAAACAACTTACTGTCTGGAAAGAAGAATCGTATTTCTCTTTCAGCACTTGTAAATGAATCACTTCCGTGTATTCCATTTTGTTGGTCATCTGTGCCATAAATCGCTCTTAAACTACACGTTTTAAAAAAATTAAATTTGTCAACCTTTCAGGTGCGACAGCCTTAGCTTTCAATGCGTTCTGTGGACCGATTAATTCACGCCAAAATGATATGGCATTTTCTTTAGCTATGACTAACACTTGTATTGGCCCGCTGCTTATATAAGCAATTAATGTTGGATAAAACATTTTTCCATAGTGTTCAGCATAAAATTCACTAGCTTGTTCTGGTGTTAAATGAACACGTCGTTTCTGCAAGAGATTTTTTCAGATGTGAATAAACTAATAAATTTCCACCTAACCTGTATAATAAAAAATCCTTTTTGTAGAATAAATTCTTCAATTTGATTTACATGATGAATAATATCAGGTTTGATAATGACAAGAGTTCTTTCAACTTGGATGTATGGAGAATTTTCTTTAGACATTTCTAGCTATTATTAATATATATTATATAGTATTATTTCCTTTTTAAAGTATAACAAAATGTTTCTATCCCTAAAACAAACATTTTAGAAGCAATAATGTTATTATTATTATTATCTCAGCTTTCATACTAAGTATTTATAACTTACAATAAATGTAAAAACAAATATATCATAAGTACAACTTCAAAAGTGTAGAAAATAAGAAATAAAGTTTACATCTTAAAAATTGGAAAAATTCAAATGTTTCTTGTTCTTCTACGATCAACCAATATCAATCACAAGAAAGATTACTGACTGCAATTTTCTTGATGAGTGTGCCTTAGAACATCTGTGCGAGAAATATGTCTCTTAATGGAGGCCAAAAAAAGGAAAAGCATTGTGGTCGTGTTGCAGTCTCCAGTCGCTAGACATTACAAATAATTCCTTTCGTGTGTTAACTTTAAGACTGTCCAACTTACCATATTATTAAGGTAAAAATAATTCCACCTTAAATTAGTTTGAAACACCATGGCAGTTCACACTTGTGACTTAATTAACTTATGTCTTATATGGTTCTTCAGCCAGAATGATATCTAACCACCAGTGTCGGAGTCTATACATCACCACAATATCTTATCACTGGGAAATGAAAAACATGAAATTTGGCATTAATCTGTTAAATGTGGTCAACAGAAGGCTGCACACCTAGTATTTATATTACTACGAATATAAAGAATATTGACTCAAATGGACAGCCAATAAAAGTAAAATATTGGTAGTGTGATAGAGTGTAATTCCAGGCTAGATCAGTTGACTCCATATCTGTCTGTCTGTTTTCGACATAGAACTTTGCACAAATATGCGGAAGTTCAAGTCGCCACATTCCGTGTAGCACGCGAAGCAAGAGAAGAAAGTACAAGAAAAGCATAATAGAAACAGTGAGTAGAGGTGTGAGACAAAGGAGTAATAAAGAAATACAAAACAATTTCATTGAAGATCATAAGTCACAGGGAGTGGATGCATCTGCGCCACTGAGAACGATTTTGAGCCATGTCACCAATTGTTTCCAACCATAGATTTTTGCCGTCCCGAGGACCCCAGCCTGGAAGTCTACGCCTTCCTACGTGGCTAAGACCAACTGTTGTGGATTTCATTGACTGATGCCAAGTTTTTGTTTGACCGCCGCTAGCTTTTTTCCAGCCTGACCCTATATCCGCTAACATAGCTCGTCGCGGGAGGCGATGACTTGGCATATGTAACACATGTCCTAACCATCTCAGTCGATGTAGCTGGGCTGGGCATGTTAACCGTTTCACTTATTTTGACTCCATATGACATGCATTGATATATCATAATGAAATAAATGACCTTTCGAGCATAACTTGTTGGTTAATACAGAAAAATGGCATTCCAACAACCAGTAAGAGAAGCCTCTATTCTGAAAACACCATAAAAATGGAAAATTGCCATACTTATGACAAGGAAAAATATGAAAATGGTATTTTAAAGAGGTAATTAGACTCTAATATTTTTGATAAACGTCTCTTAGTTTTCAGAATAAGTATCTAGTATAAAAGCTTACCAAACCTTATTTACACGGTCACTCAACTCGAAAGCTACTCCATGTTGAATCCTTAAGACGCTATTCTTCATGTTTGTCCACACTGCGTCATACATGTCACCGAGATTTAACACCCAATTCTAAAAATGTCTTTATATTTCGGTGATTTGGACTCGCTTTATGTGAAACTTCAGTTAAAGGCTCCACAAAAGAAGCAATGAGTGGGCGACTAATCCTTTCTATTATATGGATACAAGTACTAAGTAATCCCTAGGTAATTTACTATTTTATATTTTAATGATGAAACCAACCAGATTTTAACTAATAGACTGAAAAAATAAAATAACACTATCTTCTTTGGCTTGCAATTTAAATACAACCAGTGAAATGGCTGGGCATGTTAACCGTTTCACTTATTTTGAAAGTTGCATCATCCCTGCTAAACGATCGCTGATGGAATCACAGTACAGACACAAACGGCACTTACAGAGAATTATGTCATCTTCAAAGAAGATATGATATCAAGTTTTACATCGAACGACATTTATACTTTTCAAAAGTTCGCTCTGATTATCCTCACAGTTGTAAGATGTGCCTGCTGAATGTGGAAGATCTGAAGACCATGGCTGTCTCTGACCACAGTATCTCGCGTCTTATCTCCCTTGTTCGGTTGTCTGTTATGGTTTGTAATGTCGAGGTGAAGAGGGGAAATAAATCAATTCGGTTGAGCAACCACGAGGGTTGGGATAGAAACTATGGGTCTTACCCTCTTCCAAGTTGCCCTATGTCAGATCATTTTGCGAAAGAGTTAGGAGTGGTTAAATCATAACCTGACATCGATCCATCAGGACTCTGACTGTTGCTCTCAGCCAGGCAGAAAGGTGAATACTGTCTGACTGCGGCTGAACAGGTGATAAGGACTGATGGTTGGAAACTGCTGATAATATGCCTCAAAACCATTCTGCATGGTAAAGATATATTCACCCTTTATGAAGTGCCAATCTCACTAAAGTATCAATACTCTCCACGTACTTGTTGTTCCTCCAGCGCGTCTCCGCGTAATGCATTTTTAAAGTTAAAAATGATGCGTTTTCCACTCCCACCCACTCATAATAGTGTGGTTGTGATTGTGGCTGCTTGAACTGCTTCACTTCCGTGCAAAGTCAGTCAGACTATTAGTTTCGTGAGAGAATTCCCTTTTACAATGTTTGTTCTTTCTTTACTTAAATATTAGTGGATAGAAATCATTACTAGCGAAGATTTGTAGCTGGCATGAATTATTTTGATGTGGTTGTATTCTCTGAGCCGAATGATTTAATTGCGAATCTTTAATTATCCTTCTGGACAACATCTTCAGGGTAACGTGGGTGAGTGATTATTTTAATTTACGATTTGTTTATTAATTAAATCAACATTGTGAAATAAACAAATCAATAGTATCCCAGAAATTTACTCCTTCCACAACAGAATATTTTTATTTGATAAAACAAAGTGATACGGTATAATTTACTTACTAAATATGCTCCGATCAAAATTTGTTGTTCGTAATAGTGCCAATCAATGACGGATAAATAGTACTGTATCATAATGTGTTTTATCAGATAAAATCATTCGGTTGTGGAATTATACTCTATTACAGTTATCAATTCCATTTTCATATAAGGAAAAATTGACTGAGCAATTATTTAGTGCCACTTAATAACCTTTTTCTGTAATATAAATACGACTGTACAGCTTGAAAATGAAGTCGTTGAAAAGAAATTTCTTCGCTGAACAAAAACTGTGTTTTTACTTATGAATAAATGGGTATTTTTCGTGAAAAACTACTTCATCAGTTTTTTTCAACTTTTCATTTCATTCTAGACAAGAATTTGACAACAGTAATAAGAATAAAATCCGTTTATAGCCAATCTATACTTTTTAAAACATATTTCTTTCGCTACTAAGCAAAGTCAGAAACGACAAGTAGATGCTTATCATTATTATTACTTTTCATTTAATGTTATGGGACTAGATGTTTATTCGTGTATTCATGGATATAGTGACTTAAACATTAGATTATTTCATACGTGTGGCTCGTCCTTACAGACCACAAGTATAACTAACCCAGTAGGTAGCCATAGGTTGTAAATTAGCCGTAAAGTGAACAATGATTCCCATTTTACCTTACATAATCCCGTTACTTATCTACCGGGAGCACAAATTACAATTTCGTCAACCCAATCTTAGTTAGGGATCAACACTATTAGTGCGAGTCAATGCCGTATTTTCCTCAGAGGTATTGGTGAGTAACTGTAAAGCTTACCATATATAAACAATAGGTATTTGTTTATCGCTAATTTTTCATACAGATATTTTCCATTAACTTTGATTATATTGCTATCAACTTCAGCTCTTGTTGTTTAAGTCTTTTCGCTTAACTTTAGCTGATTCAGTTAATTCAAGGGATGTTTTTCATAATAATAATTTGCTTTATTCTAAAACAGTACTTATGATACAGTGTGGAGTTCTCAGCATTTGCTACAAAGTTGCCTACAATTTACTCGATAACAGCAAATAATATTACAGAATTGACAATAATGGCTTTTTGGTATCAGCAGTCACAACAAAGTCAAAAATTTACAAAAAGTATGAAGTAATGATAACACTGATAATATCTAAAATTGTAAGCCAATTGAAATAGCATCACCATAGATTACAAATAGGAGAGGATATAAGAACCAATTAATTTTCCTAATAACATTATTACTGTCACATAAGACTCGGGCCAAATATGGTAACGCTGGAGTTCCATACTTGGTTGTACGACCATGTATTATCTATGCTACAGGCATCATGTGAAAGAACCAGTCCTTGTAAATCACGTTTATGCCTAAAGGCGAAGTTAATAATCTGACATTTAGTAGGATCTAATATAACTCAATTTAGCTTGGACCACTGGTTTATGATCGACAAAAGCTATTGAATTTGGAACAGTCAGATCAAGACGTATTTGATGAAGTCGATTCCCTTTGAAAGAGGTCAGCCATGTAAGAGGAAAGAATAAAGAAAAGGAGAGAGAGAACAGCACTCTCAGGGACTCAAGATTCAGTAAGCAAGGCCGAAGATTAACCTTTATATACAGTATACAGCAGCCTCCCACCTCTAGGAAACAGTGAACACATAGTCATTACTTTAATGTTTGAAATCCATTATTCCATACCTAGGTCTATATCTGCCCTTCCAAATATCTGGAAAGCAAAAATATTGGCAATGCGGAACGCGTCAACCTCAGCTCACTGGCCACTGAATGCAAATGAGTTTGTTGGGGGGGGGTCTTAGGCAAGACTTAAGAAATTACTAGAATGTGCAACTTTACATATTGTGCCTAGACCCACCCATCGAAAACTGTCGTATTAACCACCTAGGATTAGTAGTGAAATTAAGACGGTTACTGAGCAAGCAAAGGCTGAAAACCTTTCTGAATAATTTTGTGATGTCTTGTCATCTGACCGTACCACTATAATCACAACTGTAATATCCCAGTTGTTGTAAATAACACAGTGATTCTAAACTGAAACCAGAGTCCCTCAGAGCCTGACGGACTCCACACTGGACTGTTAGTCTCCTAGGCATTCCTCTTGTGGATATTTTTAAAAAGTCTCTGACACAGGCTGGGCTACCCAGGCACTGGAAGGACGCAATTATAATCTCTATCTCTAAAGAAGGGAAACGGCCATCTCTAAATGACTAGTGGCCTGTAAGTCTGACAAGCATCATAACAAAGGTAATAGAAATAATCATATGGAATCAGTTATTAGCCCATATGGAAAAACATGGTTTACTGGCGGAGGAAAGCATGGATCCTGCCTAGCAAAATTACTGTTAACTGTGGAAGAATGGACAGAAGCCAGGACGTTTCGTCGATCTTAGTAAAGCGTTAGATTAATTGTTACACTAAGGTCTCTTCAGTGAACTGTTTGGTTGGTTTAGGGACTGCCTGATGAGTAGAAGACAAAAGATAATGGATAATGGTATACTTTTAGGGTAAGAAAAACAGTATCGAGAAAAGTAATTCAGGAGACTGTGTCTGGATTATTTATTATTATTATTATATGTAAATGAACTGCCGAAAATTCTTACCTTATGTTGCCTATTATGTGCCGACGACATAAGGATCTGAAAAACTGTAAATAATAATGATAATACGTCAGGATTACAAAGTCATCTAGATAAATTAACTGAATGATCTAAGTTCAGGAGTCCGGAAATTAATTCGAGAATTAGCGCAGTGACTCAATTAGGCCAGAGGTTTTACACGTTGTATTCCTTGGAGGACACAAATATGCCCAACGTTAACAGGTGAGAGAACTTAAGAATTATTTTCAGCCATGATTTGAAAGCATCTGCATATTGTAATTCAGCTGTTCAAAATCATTTGGCACTTTGAAGGGCTTTCAAACAACTAGGTGAGTTTGTGTTTAGCGTGCTCTACGCAAAATGCCTAACTTCATCTAGAATACGGCATAAAAGCGGCTAATTCATGCTTAAAGAGGGAGGTACATATGTTTAGAAGAGTACAGGGAGTAAAAACTGAATTAGTCAATGGTATCTCACACCTATCTCACAAGAATAGGATGCAGCATTTAAATCTTTTCTCATTGTCACACCACAGACACCGTATTTCAGAAACTAGTCTGTTGTAAGCAAATCCATTATTTAACATAAAGTTAAATAAATTTAACTCCATAGATAAGAAGTAGATATAATGTTGAAGTGGAAGGAAAAATTGCATTCTTCTTAGTTTTTGTAAATGCATTACTTAACATACCGCGCTACTCTACACCATAGAAACTGAATTCACTTTATACGCGTGCGACTTAACAAGTGACCACCACAAGGTCATTCACCAATTATGTAAATAAAGCCTTTATTTTAGACTGCATGAAGTAAATGAATGTACAATCTTTTATATTATGATTATCCTCCTGGATTCTATTAGGATATCTGGCTTAAAAATCTCCTCTCTACTTAATTCTGTCAATTGCAGGTTAATAAGGTGGCTCCACGACTGCCGATAAGCTTTCATTTCCCCTTCACAGGATCTCTTAAAAATAACCTTTGGATGCCAAAATCGTCTCTCCCCACTCGAAAGCCATACTTCATATTCACCGATGATTTCCACAACAAATGTTCAATATATCTTCCTTCTGCTTAAATTTTGGCCAATAAACTGTAAGTTAGTCCACTACCCGACAAAGTCTTATGCTCACTGTCCTTTCCGTTAAGTCAGAGAACACTTCTGTCGGCGAAACTCTCAGCCTAATGGGAATACTTTTGGTGACACTCACGCTAACTCTTTTAAACATATATAAATGCCGTTTCCCGCCTGTGTTGAAATTTTTGATATTACCCCTTTAGCAAGGTAGTCAGGGTCCCTACAATGACTTCAAAGTAATAAATGTGTGTTTGCTTTTTCCGGTCACTCCCATGCTGGATCTGGTATCCTCATAGCGCGTAAATTATCGTAAGGTAGGTAAGTGATATTTCAGTGACAAGTGAATTCAAAGATCTGAAAGATTAGAACCTGCAGGGCAAGCTGATGTGTGACACGTCTCCCAAATTTATGTAGGCCCCGTGGGGTAGCGTTTTGAAAAGAAGCTGAGCGGCACCACAGATGGTAGTAGCAAATAGCGTTTTGCTTTCTATAATTGAGATCTGTACAAGCCGTATTTTTCTTCTTTTTTTAAGGATCCAGACTAATGTTCAATTCTCGAGCTGTCAAAATATACATTCTGCCCTCCTACAGATTGGGGCGATTCATGTGTGTGACCATTACCATATCTGCTGATCAGCAGGCACCACCCCCTCCCATAATTTGATGTTAAGCCCTGCGATTACCGTGGTTGCAGCATTGCATTGCTTTGATCCCGTTCCATTCACACCATATGTCACATTAATAGCTTTCATGACAAGTGCTTCCCATTAGGTCACCAGATTCATCGGCACCTGAGAACATTCTGAACAGTAATGTCTTCACACATGCATAAGTGGTTATTAGAAACGACCAGGAAATCAAGTTTCCCTTAAAAATTAAGAGGTATAGAAGTAGTCAGTGCTACAGCAACTAAGTTATAGTTCATTTAGCAGAGTGAAATGAGTGGTGGAACACATAGTTATAAAGAAGAATGGTTCTGAAGAAAACAGCTGGTCCACAGCTCTTTTGGTGCTAAATATTCATGGTTGACTTTCAAAGTAACCCTTCAACCTAGGTTAGGGTCAAAAATTGTTCAACGTATGCTTGTCCACCTACTTCCCACGAACTGCTGAGTGATCCGTCTCACAACAATTATGAAGATCATCAGTGGTCACTGTCAGCCTTATCATATCCTTTGTGAATCACTTAACATGTGGAATATCTTCACATAGTTGTTGATGGATGTTTATATGTTTTGGGCGGCTGTGTAGTGTAGAAGCAGTTTCCAAATTACTTCAAAGTCAATGACGTTGGCAGGCTTTTCGAAGCTGAAGTAGAGATTTACTGCCACTGTAGGCTCTATGATTAGTGGTTTGATTATGTCATTTGATTATTATTATCATTCGATTGGTGATTTGATACGCACATGACACATTCATCCTTACTGAAGCTTGTTCCAGGTAGAGTTTTGTATTACAGAATATCCTTTAGTCTCTCCAAGACGATGTGGTTTAACATTTTACTTGTAGCGTACTGTGGAAGGATTCTGTGCTGCTTAATTTGTGGGCATTATTTATACTTCTCTGGCATTTTGGCAGAGTGTCCTTTCTTCCAATTCTCAGGTATCTTTCGTAGCTTGCAAACGTTCTCCAGTAGTAGTTTAGAGGTTGACGGAATCTCTTATACAGCAACTTCTAACTTATTAATTCTCGCGTACCAAAAGCAAAGCAAAAGCCAATATTTGATCGTCTAAACTACGCGAAATATTTCGGGACCAAAACAAGCCGTCAGACGAACGCTCAGCTGGCTAGTGATCGTGCACGCACGTGACACGACGGAGTACCAAATGACGGGGATGCTTGACCGGAAGCCTTCAGCTAAACAAGTCGACTTAAACACAGATGGTCAGCATCCAATGATGAGTGATTGCTGTGGTCAATAATTTTGGGGAATTATTTACCGCCACAGTAGTAAATACACGTTATCGGAACAGAAAGTTATATGCAAAACAAGTGGTTTTGACAGGCAAATTCGCGCATGACATAAATTACGGTCGATGAAGTTCAACCGTTCCGAGAGTTATAATGGTTGGCTTATCACCCTAAGTATGGGGTAACAGCCACATTATTGTTCAAACGTTAAGTTTTCATCAATTTCAAGCTACTGAGCTGAATCTCGTTTCGTTTTCGTCTAACTCATGTAATAAACAATGAATATTCTGGCAAGTGCTACATCCACTTCTGACTGAAATCAATCCTATGGGATCGCCTTTTGAAAAAAAGCTGAGCGAAACGGCTGAATCTGGTGGTTTGTGCACTAATGGTTTTTAGATCTAGATATTCTTTATTGTTTTCAAAATTATGGTTCCAAACTCCTAGTTGAAGCAGTAGTCATCACATTTTGGACCGCTCCTAAATCCACGGATCAGTAAATACCACTATCAAAATAGTTAGTGAAGTCCCTAGGTTCTTTTTCAGTTCTACTGACATGATCCCATCCGGCCCTGCTAGCTGCATAGTCTTTTACTATCCTAATGACATTCAAGACTTCTTTTTTTATCGCAGAGCTGATGCCTACTGCTTTTCCACTTCAATTTTATCTGCTCTTACAAATTCTAAGCGCTTCTATTCTTATTCCCCTCAGATATTCGCAGTTTGAGCGGTTGTCGCAACCTTAGTCATCGCACAGACATTCCATGTCCTGACTGTTAGTTCGTTCTTCATCGAAGGATTTTCCAGTGCACAACACGCATCCTAGAGGCTTTCAATAGTCCCCATTCCAGCAGAAAACAAGATTGTTTACATGTAGTCCCTGCACACTGCTGTTTCTGTCTAAAATTGAATCATTTTCCATTTTGGAAACGCCAGTCCACGTCAGTTCAGCTGTTAATTTCAGACTCGTTTGTGTACAAGCGTTACGGAATTCATCGGTAGTTTTAGTCTCCCCTTTGTGTAAGAGTTGTACATCTTTCGATTAAGTGGCTGTATTTGTCAATTTATAGGAATCTGAAGGAATGAATGTACATTTATTTCATATACAGCCTCTGTTCATGCATGCGTAGCAGCATGGCACTTCCATTTATACTGGAATTCGCTGTATGGTACTAGTTGGACGTCCCTTAACTAATAACGGATTTTCACAAGTATTTCTGTTAAAGTCTATTGTTAATGGATGTGGGCATTGAACGTTTGCTTCCGGAACTGGTAGCCACTGGTGGGCAACTCGGAGGCGCGAATGGTTCGATCGTGTACAAGTTCGACGAAGACGATGAAAAACGAATAAAAGTACATAACAAATTTGTATAAAACATTTGTTTATAGACTTAAACTGTTCTCCGCTTTAGTTATCAAACAACATAACTTCCTTCTTAAAATACTAATGTTTTGGAGTTAAAGTTGAAGAAAGTACATATTATTTATTGGTACGGAGCGTCTTCGTAACAATACAACCTTAGGGATAGGGTTCTTGGCAATTTTTATTCGATTTGTGGAGTGATTTCTGGGGCAGTTTTATTCATCTGTTCGTTTTCTGGAGTGCTTTCTGAAACTCTTCTGGGAGTGCTTACTGATTTGCAGCCAGCATCTCTTTGGACACGGATTATCAATGTAATTTGGATCCTTTGGTGACGTTGGATGATACCTGGGCTAAAGAAGGGAAGTGGCACGTTGGAAGCAGACAAAAAAGTAAGCAACGATGAGTTTCCTGTCAATTGTAATGATATGTGAGATGCTCAGCATGATTAGTCTCATGTTCATGGTTAGCCGTTTAGTGATAGTAGTGTTTCTAGACTCCTAAAATTTGAACCTCGGTACTTTAATGGAAACCCAGCTGGCTATCCACAGTTTGTAAAGGAGTTTGACATCATTTTGAGTAGTTTTAATTAAATGATGAAATGAAGTTGATGTATTTGTTGAGGTACTGCACTGGTGCTGCCGCAAGAACTATACAGTGCTGTAAATTCATGCCCCCAAACGAAGGATATACAGAGGACATGAGGATATGACGTCAAAGGTTTGGAAAGCCATTTATGATATCCCGTGGCATTTTTGAGACAGTCAAAGGTAATGGTAATAATTTACAAGATGACTGAAAGGCACTCTCTGAGTTTTTGGATAATCTTATGACTTACAAGAATACGTTGATTTCGATGAATTGCATGAGCGATCTGAACTCAAGTTCCGTTCTAGATGTAATAGCGAGACGATTCCTACTCATCTGCAAAGGAAGTGGGTGAAGATAAGCTCTCGTATAGAAGATGAAGATGTTGAGCCAAAGTTCGATCATATTCTGAAACTGGTAAGAGCTGTATCACCTAAGCTTTGAGCAAGTTTGCCAGTATATTGCATCCCACACCTGGAATAGAGAAGACAGAAAGCTAAACGCAGTCATCCATGACGAAAGGGTCTCAGAGAAGTGGATATCGAGAAAGCTTTATGGTGTCTAGTGATTCGTTCAAACTTATTGAATGTGATAGGTTTCGTACGACGTCCCCAACAGATAGGTTACAAGTTGCGAGACAAACGCGGTTGTGTTTCGTCCGTGTCTAAGAAGTGCAAACAAAAGATAACTGTAAAGAAGTCACCAAGTTTAGTAGTAAGCTAAATATGAAGTCAGCGTCATCAAGGTCTGACTACGAATTACGTGACGATGATGGTGCAGTGAAGAAGCCTGTAGTTGCAACTAATAAGCCA